GATACAGAAAAAGGGGCTCTGTCTGCCAACGTTATCTTCCCCTGGCCCACAAAAAATCACTAGTTTTATCAGGGAATGTTTTGAGTACTTGATATTTCTATGGATAATGCAAGAACTGGCATTGGTTTTGAGACCCTTTCTACTGTTTTCCATGAACACTTACTAAACTACACACAGGTCCCACTTTGTGAACATTCGCTATGCAAAAATTCATTTATCCGAACACGAGGAATTAGTACCCAAACCTCGCTATACACAGCACAGATAGCCAATCAGAGAGCATTTATTACTTCCTTGTTTGCCATTGGCTGAGGAACAGAGGGAGGGAGAATGATCAGACAAATCAGATAGCATTTTTTTCTGGGATTTTGTGTGGGGTGATGGCTTGGGGGGGTATCAAAATTCCATGGTCAGGAATGCATTAGCAAATTTTCAGTAGGAATCAATGGAAATAGTCAACTCATTATGCGAATGCTCATCTAATGAACAATTTCTAGGGAACAAATTGTGTTTGGTAGGTGGGAACTGAGTGTACTGGAAATCCTGCCATCCTCTGCACTGCCTTGATACCAAGATATATATTTACTTATTCTAAGTAAGTCTCCATTCTCCCTCTTCCCTAGGAATGTAGCTTATGAATTCATTTCAAGCAAGAGTGCTCTCTCAACCAAACTGTCATTCATTTTAAGGAGATAGTTTGCCCTTAAAACATTTTCCCTTTTGAAGATCTCAGCCTCTTAAGCCTCTTTCAAATGTTGACTTGACAGATAATAAACACAACTCTGATTTGGGCCTGTCTCTTACTGCTGTTTAACTCATGAACCTTCAAGCCAAACATGCCCGTTGTTGTTGTTTAGTCGTTTAGTCGTGTCCGACTCTTTGTGACCCCAGGGACCAGAGCACACCAGGCACTCCTGTCTTCCACGGCCTCCCGCAGTTTGGTCAAACTCATGCTGGTAGCTTTGAGATCACTGTCCAACCATCTTGTCCTCTGTTGTCCCCTTCTCCTTGTGCCCTCAATCTTTCCCAATATCAGGGTCTTTTCCAAGGAGTCTTCTCTTCTCATGAGGTGGCCAAAGTATTGGAGCCTCAGCTTCATGATCTGTCCTTCCAGCAAGCACTCAGGGCTGATTTCCTTAAGAATGGATAGGTTTGATCTTCTTGCAGTCCATGGGACTCTCAAGAGTCTCCTCCAGCACCATAATTCAAAAGCATCCATTTTTCGGCAATCAGCCTTCTTTATGGTCCAGCTCTCACTTCCGTACATCACTATTGGGAAAACCATAGCTTTAACTATGTGGACCTTTGTTGGCAAGGTGATGTCTCTGCTTTTTAAGATGCTATCTAGGTTTGTCATTGCTTTTCTCCCAAGAAGCAGGCATCTTTTAATTTTGTGACTGTGGTCACCATTTGCAATGATCATGGAGCCCAAGAAAGTAAAATCTCTCACTGCCTCCATTTCTTCCCCTTCTATTTGCCAGGAGGTGATGGGCCCAGTGGCCATGATCTTCATTTTTTTGATGTTGAGCTTCATGCCCACCTGTCCTATTTAGTAGCCCACTGGGGGCTTATTAAACCTCCTGGTTTGCTGCCTGCCTGGGACCGCAAAACAGGAAAGTTGTCAAATGCTTAGCATGGCATGATACATGGCTGGTGGACAGTGCTGGTCTTCTTGAGCCACAAACTGTTTAGTCCTGGTGTGTAGCAATAAACTGTCTTTCACACACGTCATTCACAACAGATTACATGCATCCTCAATCTGCCCTGATCCTCTCCTAGCTCCCAGCCAAGGAAATGACTCTCCTTTAGCCACATCCATCCTTCTGTATGTGTCATCAGTTCCTCCCTAACTATCTAAAGAACAATTATAGCAGTAATTAGAAGGAATGAGGTGGAGAAGGCTGCTCCTTGAATGGGTGGTCTGCCAGGGACTGAAAAATGGGGGCCAGAACTGATGCAAATAAGGAATAAGTAGGACCATCCCTGTTCAGACTTGCATGTTTGCTGGAAAGTTCCTACTGATATGGACACACCAGTGTAAACACTTGGAGGAGAAGGTTATCAGTACCTCCTAGACTCAGGGTGTGGTGTATGAGAAAATAAATAATTGGATGAAATGGACTGGGGAGTGGTCTGGCTCCTTCTGAGAAAAGATGGCAGGGGGAGTTTTGGCAGGGAGATGGGATCAGGGCAAGGATGGAGCGGAACTGTGTTCACTCTGCATTCTAAAGCAACCCAGTTCACAGTTGCTGGACTTAAACATGGATCAGAACACAGCTAATAGTTTGATTATATGGCTCTACAAACTGTGATGCAGATTCCATTTATAAAAAATGTATACAAAAATGCATTATTTATGGCAGAAATGCATTTATTAATTTTGTCTTTTTGTGCTGTAAACTGCCCTGTGATCTCTGGGTGAAGGGTGGTATATTTAAACAACAACAACAACAACAACAACAACGTGATCCCTCCCTCCCTCTGGAACCTAAAAACTCATTTTATCCCATATTTCACAAAACAGCATTGTGTCACAACTCCTCAGTCCTAGGGAACACTGAACACTGCAGTCAGCAAAGCTGCCCTAGAGGTTGTGCTCCCCTACAGGCTGTCCACCCCTATAATAGTCTTCAACCCTATAACAGTCTTCATTTCCCTATATTGTTTTCTCTCATCCTTGCCCCCACCCTATTCAAAATGATTTGAGGAAGTGTGATTTGTCTGAACAAAAGAAAGTATGAAACACTATTTGAATTGCTAGATGTGTGCCATGTATTTTTTCACTGTAGAATTTTGCTCATATCATTCTAAAGGTAAAGGTAAAGAGACCCCTGACCATTAAGTCCAGTCATGGACGACTCTGGAGTCGCAGCACTCATCTCGCTTTACTGGCCGAGGGAGCCAGTGTACAGCTTCCGGGTCATGTGGCCAGCATGACTAAGCCACTTCTGGCGAACCAGAGCAGCGCACGGAAACGCCATTTACCTTCCCGCCAGAGCAGTACCTATTTATCTACTTGCACTTTGACGTGCTTTTGAACTGCTAGATTGGCAGGAGCAGGGACCGAGCAACGGGAGCTCACCCCGTTGCGGGGAATCGAACAGCTGACCTTCTGATTGGCAAGCCCTAGGCTCTGTGGTTTAGACCACAGCACCACCTATGTCCCCATATCACTCTAGACCCAATTTATTTTGGCTCATATGTACTTTTGTAACTGGACAAATGACTCCTGTTCATCTCCATCCAGGATGGTGGTTCTGCTTTTTGACTCTGAGCAATGGCTGTAAAGAGACTGCAGTACGTCAGTGTGCTAATCATGAACCAAACACAGCCTGGTGCCTGTGACAGACTTGGACAGCAGGTGGCACCAGATGTGGCTGCAGCGAATTGTACCAATGCAGGAAGTCATCACAGGTGTGTTGTGATTCAGCACACCAGACAAGATCTCCAGAATCTTAGAGCAGGAGGCAATTCCAGAGAGTTCATTTTATTTTTTATTAAAAGAGCTTGGCAGTGGTAAGCTGGGAAGCAAACACAGCACTCTCGATCTCCCATTCTTTCTGCAATGAGCTCAGGAAAGGAACATGGTGTTCTCTTTCTATCTAATTTTCATTCAACCCTTCTTTCAAAAGGTTCAGGGCAGCACACACGGCTCCAGTCGTAAATCCTCACAATGACTCCGTGACCGGTGATTGACACAAGAAAACCTGGTGACTTGAATGAGGATGTGAATCCAAGTCTCCCTGGTTGAAGACCAACACTCCAACACAGACATAGGCAACCTTCGGCCCTCCAGATGTTTTGGCCTACAACTCCCATGATCCCTAGCTAACAGGACCAGCGGTCAGGGATGATGGGAATTGTAGTCCAAAACATCTGGAGGGCCGAAGGTTGCCTGTGCCTGCTCTAACAAGTACACTACAGTGGCTTTCTGGTAAACTGGGTTGTCCTACTTTATTCTCACAACAAGAGAGAGGCTCTTCTGAACTCACCCTGTGCCCTTCAGGGCTCAGTGGAGATTTAAACTGAGCTTTCCTCAGCCTAAGTCCAACATTCCGACAACTACATCACCCTGATAATAGTCTCACATCCTGGTCCACGTAAGTAATCTGGAATGCGAGAAGAAACTATTGTACAGTAAGTCCCTTTAGTCATGGAAAAGTAGTCTTCAGTAGCATTTCATCAGGCTGCCTTGGTGGGAGAGATAGGAAGCAGGGTTCATTGCCTCCGCTTTGCTGGAGGACCAGCTCCATCAGGGACCTCCTGCCTCTGAACTGTGTCAGCTGATCATAGAATTGTGGCGCTGGAAGGGACCACAAGGGTCATCAAGTCCAACTCTCTGCAATGCAGGTATCGATTTAAGAACAACTGTCTAGAAATTGGTTCCTGAGTTTTGAGCTTTATTTTCACCTTCCCTCCTTGTCCCCTTTCTCTTAAGTGTATTATTATTATTATTATTATTATTATTATTATTATTATTAATTTGAGTATAAGCCTGCAGGTATAGAGTGCCTTGTTTTGATTTCATATAAGCCACTCGAGGAGCCTCTTTGGCTGAAGAGCAGGGTAAGGTAAAGGTAAAAGGACCCCTGACCATTAGGTCCAGTCATGGCCTACTCAGGGTTGCGGCACTCATCTCGCTTTATTGGCCGAAGGAGCCGGTGTACAGCTTCCGGGTCATGTGGCCAGCATGACTAAGCCTCTTCTGGTGAACCAGAGCAGTGCACGGAAACGCCGTTTACCTTCCCGCCGGAGCAGTACCTATTTATCTACTTGCACTTTGACGTGCTTTCGAACTCCTAGGTTGGCAGGAGCTGGGACCGAGCAATGGGAGCTCACCCTGTCGTGGGGATTCGAACCGCTGACCTTCTGATCAGCAAGTCCTAGGCTCTGTGGTTTAACCCACAGCGCCACCTGTGTACAACTGCTCTAATTAAATAATAATACATTAATACTCCAAAATCCCCAGAGTGAACCAACCAAAATATCAGAAAAGCGTAGCAAGCTTTTGAGTTCTCCAGAACTCTTCATCAGGCAAGAAGTCACACAAAGCAGGGGGTGAGGTGAAACATCTTGTATAACACCTTGCCTAATGAAGAGTTAAGGAGAACTCGAAAGCTGGCACTCCTATACATACTTAGCTGAATAATGGTGCTTACTTATGAGAAATCATGCATAGGATTCCACTATTAACTGATTAATTTAATATAAATTGGATTTTTAAGATGCAAGTGGCCATCTAGGCCCATGATTCCTCAGTGACCACTGAATGATGTTCCATTCAAAACTACGTAGTTATGTCTACTGCTGTATCAGCAGTTTTATACTTTACTAACATAAAACCACAACCTCATTCTTGGCAATGTTTCACCCTGCTACGTGCTAGGTAGCTGAGAGGCCAGTAAAACAGCCCGAGGAGTGTCCGTGATGCAGAAGTGGAAATGTACTATCCTTTGTAAAAGCAACATCTCAGGTGCAGCTTCAGTTTTCAATTGATGGACGGGAAAGATGAAAGTGGTACCAGAACCTATCACCCAGTGCCTACAACTTAGCAATACAAAATCAACACAGTGCATTATATACAAGTACAGTGGTACCTCAGGTTAAGAACTTAATTCGTTAGGAGGTCCGTTCTTAACCTGAAACTGTTCTTAACCTGAAGCACCACTTTAGCTAATGGGGCCTCCTGCTGCTGCCACGCCGCCAAAGCAGGATTTCTGTTCTCATCCTGAAGCTAAGTTCTTAACCCGAGGTATTATTTCTGGGTTAGTGGAGTCTGTTACCTGAAGTGTCTGTAACCTCAAGCATATGTAACCCAAGGTACCACTGTATAACAATACTTCTAGTATTGCTCTTTAGAGACATGTCCCTCTGCCTTAGGCTCTATTGACATCGCATGACAACCAACCACAATGTGAAAACCTTGTATGAATTAAGGCAGGGGTCGGCAAGGTTTTAGCTGCCTGGGCAGGTCTGGGACGGATCGCGTGCGCACAAGCAATTTCCAGCGTCTGGACATGCGCAGACATGATTTCCGACGTCTTGGGCAGATGCGCAGATGCGATTTCCGGTACCACGGAAGTGAGTCCCCACACCGCACCACGCCGGTTTAGCACAGCACGCGGGGACTTGCCAAGCGGGCGGCTCAGTTTGGGGGCAGCTCGTGGGCTGGTTAAACTGCCCCTGTGGGCCGCTTGTGGCCCATGGGCCACAGGTTGCTGACCCCTGAATTAAAGCAAACCAATTAAATTCAAAGGAACCACAAAAGATGTCAGATGCTCATCACATCACACGGGTGCTCTCCTTTCAAAGAAATTGAGACTTTTCAGTTCTACTGTGGCCCTTATCCACACATGTAGGGGGGTATGGGGCCAGCCCCACCCCAAACAATTATATATGTACTGGCCCCACCCTCTGAAGAAGCCTATCTACCTGTATTCACTTGTATGCAATCAGAGCCTTTCACAGAAATTGAGCCCTTGATAAAGGCTTCTATTTGTGTTCAAGCTAAGATGGGAAGGAATCCCCTTTAGCAATGGTTGAAAGCGGAACATAAGAAAGTTGTGGTCTAAGTAGTTAGTGACTGGGATGTTAGAGGAACGGGAGTATGCATGGATTTTAATTACTGTTCTGGCATAACATCTGAACAGGGCTTGTTGGATCACTGCACAAATTATGAGCTCATATTTTTGGTCTGTGTGCAGCAAGTTTCAAGATGGATACCTTGAAACACATATGATCTGCAAGCAGGTACAACCCAGAGCCTCATAAATATCTATGTATTCTCATAAACCAGACACTTCTCAGAGACCTATCCACTGTAAAGTAAAGCAACTTTTCATAGTATCTGCTATAACATGTAAGACCATGGCAGGGGGAAAAAGCCACAATAAAGCATATCGTTAGCAAACAAGGTGATGTAATGTTGGCAAGATGAATCCCAAGTTCAGTTACATCATGTGAAACCGGCGGGTGTAGATGTTTTGAGGTTTGGCCAGATTCAATATAGGATTCTTCCAAGAGAGACACAGTGGGGGGAGGGAAGACTGTGATTCATTAGTCCTGTCTGATGGCCTATGAGCAATGCAGGTTGGATGCTTGAGTAGTTTAAGAAAATGAAGTCAAACAGATTTAAAAGAAGCAACGCTTGATCCCGTTCATTATGATTTGGAAGAAGAAGAGAAGAAGAAGAGTTTGGATTTGATATCCTGCTCTATCACTACCCTAAGGAGTCTCAAAGCGGCTAACAATCTCCTTTCCCTCCCTCCCCCACAACAAACACTGTGAGGTGAGTGAGGCTGAGAGACTTCAGAGAAGTGTGACTAGCCCAAGGTCACCCAGCAGCTGCATGTGGAGGAGCGTGGAAGCGAACCCGGTTCACCAGATTACGAGTCCACCACTCTTAACCACTACACCACGCTAGCAAGTCACCCTGAATTCAATGGGACGAAGGCCAGTAATAGTCATTACATGAACTTTGGGGCTGCTGATACAAGTGGCAGTCTCTCTCTCTCCCTCTCTCTCTCTCCCCCCCCCCACCTCTTTCTGGTACTGTAATGAGTATGGGTTGCTCGTGCGTAAGTTGCCGCCTCTCCTGGCTATGTTGCCTTGTTAAACCTTTCTGTTTGGACAGCCCTTCACTTCGTGGCTGCCTCAGTCACTAGCAGAATCCGGCCAGTGGGCGTTTCTTAAACCTTTTCCAACATAAAAGTTGTTTGACTCCAAGTCTCCTCCTACTCTCCCTGCGCGGAAGCCTTCTGCGCAGGGAGGGCGTGGGTAGCGGAGGACCCGTGCTCTCCCGCTGGTGTCCGGTGAAGAGTCCTGGAGCCCTCTCGCCGATTCCCCATCTGCCCCCTTTATCCCTGGTGTTGCGCTGATTTGCTTCCCCATCTGCTGAGCTGCCTCTCTCCCTGCTGGGCCCTTCTCCAGCATCATTTGAGAGCCTTCCCTCCGCCTCTAGCTCCGATGTCAGTTCCCTGACAGGTACCATATAGTAAAATGAATTATATGGCATGTGACATGATGACATCACCACATTTTGAGTTTCCCCACCTCCTCCACAGCAACCAAGGAAGTGATGAAAGAGAAACTTGAAAATGCAATGATGTCACCATTACACATTATTATTATTATTATTAATGTCAATTCTATACCACTTTATATTTTTAAGGGGGGAAATCTCAATGCGGTTTACAACACAATAAAACAGCAAAGAATAAAATCCAGAATAAAAGATTACCCAAGACAGCCAAATATAAAGTTTACATTCAAAGCAACCTAATTAACAGGAAATGAAAATATTATCTTAAAGATTTCAAAAGAAAACATTACAAAGGAGGTCAACTACAGAAGGCACATTTAAAACTGCATAATCAACAAGAGAATAAAAAAAATTATCCTAGGCATAAAGCATGGGTAGGCAACCTAAGGCCCGGGGGCCGGATCCGGCCCAATCGCCTTCTAAATCTGGCCCACAGACGGTCCAGGAATCAGTGTGTTTTTACATGAGTAGAATGTGCCCTTTTATTTAAAATGCATCTCTGGGTTATTTGTGGGACATAGGAATTCATTCATTATTATTTTTTTCAAAATATAGTCCGGCCCCCCACAAGGTCTGAGGGCCAGTGGACTGGCCCTCTGCTGAAAAAGTTTGCTGACCTACTGCTGTTGCTGCCAATCCTGTCAACAGTGGTTCAGTGCGGGGAATGTCTATGGAAGCGCAGGCTCAGTGATCTGGGTCTGTACTAAGAGATAGCCAAGATGGAGATTTTGCTACACATTGGTGGGGGAGGAGACAGGATGAGATGTGGTGATCCTGTTTTCAGAGTTACCCCATGCATCCCACTCTTGGCCATGCATCCCACTCTTGCACTGATGTCTGGAGGAAGTATTGAGCCATGGGGGTTAACCTGTGTGCGCACACAACAAAACTTCATTCAGATGACACGGAAAGACAGTTAGGTGAGAGTTCAGTCTTTCTGGAGTTATATTATAAACCCTGTTTGGGAGGAACAGCTCCTGGCTGTTCATGTAGCAGTAGTGGCTAGGACTGCCTTTTTTGGGTTTCGGGTTTGCAGCCTCTTCCTGGAGAATACAGACCCGACCACAACAATTCATGCTGTTGTTGTTGTTGTTGTTTAGTCATTTAGTCGTGTCCGACTCTTCGTGACCCCCTGGACCAGAGCACTCCAGGCACTCCTGTCTTCCACTGCCTCCTGCAGTTTGGTCAGACTCATGTTTGTAGCTTCAAGAACACTGTCCAACCGTGTCGTCCTCTGTCGTCCCCTTCTTCTTGTGCCCTCCATCTTTCCCAACATCAGGGTCTTTTCCAGGGAATCTTCTCTTCTCCTGAGGTGGCCAAAGTATTGGAGCCTCAGCTTCAGGATCTGTCCTTCCAGTGAGCACTCAGGGCTGATTTCCTTAAGAATGGATACGTTTGATTTTCTTGCAGTCCATGGGACTCTCAAGAGTCTCCTCCAGATTCATGCTGTAGTAACATTCAATTTGGACCACTATAATGACTGTGTTTTATGTGAGGCTGCCTCCAGTGCTGGTGTCAGGCTATTTTGTACCCTGAGCAAGGCTAACCTCTTGCATCCCCCCCCCCATTAACTTTAATTTTCAAAAGCAGATTGCTAAATTTGTTTTAAATTGCAAGAATACATTATGCAACAATATTTGACTATCTTTCTCAAATACAAAAGAAAATGCTTTAGCACACAAATGATTTTGAATAATCTTGGGAATTGTGATGTTGAAATTAAAATTTTCAATTCCAGGCACATCAAAATCTCACTTTGCATGCCTATTCCCTTGCAAATTTTGTCACTGGTTCCTTCAGGTCAACTGCTGGTACTTGAGCATGTTCAGCTCATACAGTTGCCAAGCCCACTAGTCGTTTTTGCAACATTTGTTGAGCATAGGCTTTTATGTCTGAGCTTTGAGAACCGTGTTGTTCACTTGCCACTGAAAATTAAGGGTATCTCTAAAGTTCACAGCACAAATATTCAGCATCAATATCTTCGTTTCCAGTGTGCACCAATGGTTTTTTTTCTGAATTTGTTGCAGGCCTTAAGTATCTCCGTTGTTGTTGATACTATATACAAGGAAGTCAGATAGGAAA